ATTTATAAGTAATTTTAAAAAAAAATTAATCTAAGGTTGTTGCCTTGCTTATAAAAAGAATTTCTCAAACAAATCATTAATTGATTATATTAGCAACTCTCTATCTTTGATTTCCTCTATCAATGACACACTCATATCATATCAAAGTATAAATCATTCTCCATAGTTTGAATATTACTTGCATAGTTCCTACATCATTTTAAAAAAATTAATCAAGATAAGAATGTCATAGTATTATAAAAATTATATAAGAGAATAGTTTTAATCTATTTTATTTATAAAAAAATGATAAAAAAATTATTTGAATTGTACTTGAAAAGGATGCTTGACATGGCATTGCCAGAAGTAATGGAAAAATATGTTCTGCTTGCTATTGTTTCTGCTCATCCACTGCTCCATGCCAGACCAACTATGGAACAGATTGTAAAGATAATGGAAACTCGTGATCTTGGAGTTGTACCGTCAATTCCAGAATACCCAGTTTCTATTCTAGCAGGCATAGATGATATCAAGGAATCAGAGACCTCCAATGTCTCTGATTTTAGCTCAACTGATCAACAATCCTCTGACACTAGTCATTCAAAATTGGACCATTCAAAATTGGACCACAAGGAAGATGATGACACTTCTCTAGCACATGCAGTGTGAGCCAGCTAATATGGAGAGATTGCTTCAGCCTCTCTGTTACATTCATTTATTGCAATTGATTGAGTGCATATTTCCATTGTATAGATAAGAAGAATGAAACCATTAATTGGTTTGAGTAAATCCTTCTTTTCTTTTCTTTTTTTATAGTCGGTAGTAGGATTCGAACCTTGGCATCTGCTCCACAATAGGTCACTTACTACAACTCACCAAGACACCTATTGTATAAGAGAGTTGTTAGCAAGTTTATGTTTTATTTAAATTAGGTTTTCTTATATGGATTGACTATTATAAACTTCTGAGTTTTTTAGCAACTAGCATAACTCTGTTCTGTTCTTATCTTATTTGGCTTTGCAGGTTGATAACCTATAATTGAAAATAAAGGACAGGGCAGTTGGCTCAAGTACAACAGCGGTTTTGTGAGGCACTGAGATGGTGCAGTGTTTGAGTCGATGGAGCAACTGTAGCCATTTCATTATAATGTAACTTACTAACCCACTAACATTCTATTGTTTGACCCAAAAAATAAAAATAAACCTATAATTGAAAATTGAGCCATATTATTTGAAAAGCCCCTTTATAAATTCAAAATTGGTTGATTCATAATTATAAGAATTCAATGCCACCAATCTCAATCAATTAAACAATTCACTCAATCAAATTTAGATATAATCTAATTGAATACAAATCAAAGTAGATCTAAACAAATTAAGGACGAGGGAAAACCACAAATGGAATACATCCATTTGTTGAAAAATACCACGGCCAATGGCTGCCAAAGCAATCCAAGAAGAATAGGAAATTACATAAGAAATTCTCACACAATTACTTATCGAATCTATGCTCAAATTGGCTCAATTTCTAATGCCTCTTTCAATGCCATCTTTAACACAAAATTGCTTCTCTAACACCAAATCCACGATACCAATATCAAATCTACGATAATGAGCCACTCTAGAATCTATAAAAGCCCCCAAGCTCAAATTCTCAAAATTCACTGAAGAAAGCTACTCTTGAAAAGTGTAATTAAAGTGAAAATCCATTATTATCTTCAATCTATGGAGCTATGATCACAAGATCAATGTAAATTATCAGGGTTGTTAGAGAATATTGCCACAATATTGTATTTCCATATTGTATGCCTATAAATGGGCCTTTATATTTTAATAGCAAATCTCAATTTCAGTACAATATTTCTTTCTCTTCTCCCATTTTTCTAACATAGTATCATAACTATAAATTAAGTTTTTATGGTTCCCATCGAACTAATTGTTGTTGTAGCTGACCGCCAGACCCTAAGTTCTACTAAATACTTTTTCTCCATCATCATCATCATCATCATCATCATCTTCCCTCTGCCTAATTTCTTTTCAGAACTCCAATCCTCATATTCACAGTCCATCCATGACAGTAAACTGGTCGCTCATCTGACCACTACATTCGCTACTTCCAGTACTGCCTTCACCACCAGTGCCACCAGTATCTTTGTATCTATCTTGTCTCTTCATATGAATCTTTCCCAACCACCAACCCATTGCCACCATTGTATCCATCACACTGCCACCTAATAGTCTCAGGCCTCCAAATCTCACCACAATTTCTTTATTTTCATACTATTTCACTGTAGGATTGATTCAGTAACTGTGATTTCTTGTTAAAATGGCCATATTCGTTTGGATTATAATGGAATTTGGAATCAGAAGGTTAGTTTTGGAGCTAGTAACAGCATATCTGTGGAGGTACTTGGTGAATGGTTAAAAGTCTATAATTATTCTATATTTTTTTTTTCATTAATACACTTTTATTAAATTAATTCTCTCAAATTATTTTTTTGAGGAATGATAAACTGCATTAATAAGGCAACATGAAACAGAGTTTCCAACATACAAACAGTTAGCAGACTCTAAGCAGACTCTAAAAAAAGAAAAAGAGGGTTAAGACAACCAACCATAAAAGACATCAAAGAACCAAATACTAAGCAAACCATAAATTATTTGTATTCGAGAAACTCTATAAATAGATGTACAAGGAGGGGAGAAGACATTCACTAAATATTCAATGCATATTTTATTTCTATGGTGTTTTGACTTTTTTTTTGCTTAAGACTAGAGGTGAAACTCCAATAATTTCTTTATAAACATTTTATGATTTAATCATGATTTTCAATGTCAAATTGTTTTCATTGATTGGTTTATTTATTTGAGAAAAGTTTTGTTTTGTATAATCTATTTGTTAGGTTTTTATTCTTGGCAATCCCGGTTGACAAAACTCATTTTAGTTGTACTTGCTTTCGCACTTTTTATTTCAGTGAGACTATGAGTTTTTAGATGCGAATCCAATCCGAATTATGCCTTACAGAAAAGTTTGTAATGTTAATACTTTCAAGATTGCCACTTCGCTGATTATAACGGGGATCGAGCAGCCCGGTCAGCTCGCGGGGGTCCAGGGGGCAGCGGCGGTTCAACTATCTGATCACTACTAGGATTTGAATCTAGTGTTTGTCGAACTCCAAGAGTCACACACACACTTTTATCATGAGATCTATGCTTTTCACTGTGGCATCACTTTCTTTCATGAGGAACCTTCTCCAGACCGTGCACATTGTGTTTTCAAGTAATTGTGCTTCTTGGATAATCTTGTGTGTTTTAAGGTACAACTCTGAAATTCCTTACTTGCTCAACCATATTATTTTTTTCGTTTTCTTCTTGTTCACTGTTTTCAGTGTTTGTGGTTGCTTTTAGTGAGGGGGAGTTTGGTTTATCATTGCAAGAGTTTGTTAGCATACACACTTTGATTTGTTTGGCAAGGGAGATTGGCTTTAGTTGGTTTACATGATGCTATGCACTGCTTCTTTATTATTTCCTTCTTGCATGCTCTTAATATTTACATAATCTTGTCATTGCTTGTGGTTTCTGATCTTACTTTAGTTGTTTGAGCTTCCTTTGTTTTATATTTTTCTTTAGTTATGGATGAGTTGATGAGAAATATTTAGAAAGATGTTCTATGGTGTATTTTTTTGCAGATGATATCATGTTAGTAGATGAAACTAGAGGAGTTAGTACTATGTTGGAGACTTGGAGAGAAGCAATTGAATCTAGAGGATTTATGATAAGCAGGATTAAGATAAAGTATATGGAGTGTAATTTTAGTAATAATAACAATGGAGGCAGAGGAGAAGTGAAGATTAACGACCAAACACTACCTAAGAGTGAACAATTTCGTTATTTATGATCGATTATCACAACAACGGGAGATATTGGAGTGAATCTGGTCCATAAAATTAAAGCGTAGTAACTTAAGTGAAAGAATGCATCTGGGATACTATGGGATAAATGAGTACCTACTAGATTAAAAATGAAGTTTTATAGAATGACTATTAGACAACGATATTGTGTGAGTCGGAATGTTAGATAACTAAGAAACTACATGCAGATAAGATGAGTGTTGCTGAGATGAAGATGCTTAGGTGGATGTGTGACAAGACTAGAAAAGATAAAGTTAGGAATGCGTATATTCAAGAATGAGTAAGAGTAGTACTGATAGAAAATAAGTTGAGAGAAAATTGATTGAGATGGTTTGGTCATATATAACGGAGACCAACAGAGGCATGGGTGAATGTATGAGATACAGTGACGGTAGATGGTAGTGTTAGGAAAATAAGTAGACCTAGATTGACGTGAGTTAGTGTAGTAGATAGAGATATGAATATTCTTATTTTGACTAGTGATATAGCCTTGGATAGAGTCGAATGGAAAAAAATGATTTATATAACCGACCTCATTTGATGAGACTTAAGGCCTAGTTTGGTTTGGTTTGTTTTGGTTTATATTTTAAATTTTGTAAACTTTTGAGTTGGGTAGACTTTATGCATTAAACATATATACATAATAAAAAACTAAATTACTCAAACTCAATTCAATTAAAACTCATTTGAAATTGGTTAAAAAGACAAGCAAAACTTCAAAGTAATTTTAAAACTTGTAATTTTTGAATCATACTTAAAAAATTAAATACTCAATTCAACTTGACTCATTTAAGCCATCAATCATTATTAGAAAGGAAAAATAAAATAATAAAATAAAATAAACAAACAAAACAAAACAAAAACAAAAGAGAAACCAAAATGGTTCGATCCGGTTTAAAGTCAAAAGATTCAAAACATAAGCTCCTCCAGAAGAGGTCAATCACCCACCTTTGAACCATAAGTCTAAATTAATAGTCAGCACAAGAATCAAAAAAATTCAATAAATCCCATTTTTTAATTAATCAGATAAAGACTCCAGTGTTCCTTCCCTCCTATAATAACTGCCAAAACAAGTAGTTGTTCTAAATATGAAGTCAAAAGCAATCTGGCACCCACTCCCCAAATCCAAAAGAACTCAAAATCTTCACCCAAAATGTCTCTCTTCCTATCCATTTTCCTTGGGTTACTTCTTGGGTATTCTAGAATTACCAGTTCAGAGTCTATTGCCAATGACCCTGCTTGTCCAATGAGCTTTAACGTTCTTCAGATGATGTTGAAGAGCTCATACACGAGCCAGTTCATTGATGTTCCAACTGAGTGTCATTACATTCTTGAAGGTTTTCGCTTAGTTCGATCAGAGTATCTTCGAACCACTGGCAACTTCAGTCCCCCTCCTGACACGTCCGAGGCCTGTTTTAATTCAATTCAGCTCTTAGTAACTGAAGCTCTGGGACGATTCGATCTTCGTTCCAATTGTTGGGCTCAGACCAGTTGGATAACAAACATTTGTTCCAATATTACAACCCGGTCAGATTTCGAAGCCTTGATTCCTCAACCTGAATTACAGAAAGTAAACAGCTCTTGTAATCAGCCACTGGGGGACAGTTCTTCATGTGAATCATGTACTGCTAGCCTGTCGAGTATCCAAGACGCTTATTTTGGTGACTCAACAAATGGGAACCTCTCAGATTGTGGTGGGTATCCACGTATGTATGCTGCTGCTTTTGCTAATGATTTTGGGCCTACTGATCCGGCAACTGCCAAGTGTTTGTTCTCGATTTTACTCAACCCACCCACTTCGCCGATTCCAGGCACCAAAAAACGCAAGATTATGCTTCTTGGGGTTGTTTTTGGTTGTGTTGCTGGCTTCTTTGGATCTTTTTTTTTGGTTTGGCTTCTTTTGCGGTTGCTCAAGCATTCGAGGAAGAAAATACAAAATTTTGCTGAAGTTGCAAGATGCTCGGGTTTGGGATTTGGGTTGTTGGGTGGAAGTACAACCTTGGTGAAGTTTACTATTGAAGATATGAAAGAGGCGACTAAGAATTTCGATAGGATGAATTTAATTGGAAGAGGAGGATATGGGAATGTTTACAGAGGCATATTAGCAAATGGGTCTGAAGTTGCATTGAAAAGGTTCAAGAATTGTTCTGCTTTTGGGGATGAAAATTTCACACACGAAGTCCATGTCATTGCAAGCGTTAAACATGTAAACCTTGTCACCTTGAGGGGCTATTGCACTGCTACGGATTCTCTGGGACCCCACCAGAGAATAATTGTGTGCGATTTGATGCACAATGGAAGTGTGTATGACCATCTTTTTGGATCGGGGGCAACAAAGCTTAGTTGGCCAATTCGTAGAAAGATTGCTCTTGGAACAGCACGCGGGTTGGCTTATTTACACAATGGGGCACAACCTGCCATCATTCATAGAGATGTGAAAGCTAGTAATATACTTTTGGATGAGGCATTTGAACCAAAACTTGCTGATTTTGGATTGGCAAAGTTTACCCCAGACGGGTTATCACATTTGAGTACTAGGGTGGCAGGGACTCTCGGTTATGTAGCACCTGAGTATGCTTTGTATGGGCAATTAACCGATAGAAGTGATGTATACAGCTTTGGGGTAGTTCTGCTCGAACTTCTAAGTGGGAAACAAGCGGTTGTGTCAGTTGAAAATGGGCAACCTCTTCTTTTGACAGATTGGGCTTGGTCACAAGTGAGGATAGGGAAACCGCTCAATGTTATTGAAGAAGGGATGCTTGACATGGCATTGCCAGAAGTAATGGAAAAATATGTTCTGCTTGCTATTGTTTCTGCTCATCCACTGCTCCATGCCAGACCAACTATGGAACAGATTGTAAAGATAATGGAAACTCGTGATCTTGGAGTTGTACCGTCAATTCCAGAATACCCAGTTTCTATTCTAGCAGGCATAGATGATATCAAGGAATCAGAGACCTCCAATGTCTCTGATTTTAGCTCAACTGATCAACAATCCTCTGACACTAGTCATTCAAAATTGGACCATTCAAAATTGGACCACAAGGAAGAAGATGACACTTCTCTAGAACATGCAGTGTGAGCCATCTAATTTGGAGGGATTGCTTCAGCCTCTGTTACATTCATTTATTGTGATCGATTGAGTGCATATTTCCGTTGTATAGATAAGAAGAATGAAACCATTACTTGGTTTCAACAAATTTTTTTTCTTTCTTTTTTTTATAGTCGGAGTAGGATTCGAACCTGGCATTCTGCTCCACAATAGGTCACTTATACAACTCACCGAAGACCCTATTGTTAAAAGAGAGTTGTTAGCAAGTTTATGTTTTAATTTAAATTAGGTTTTCTTATAATGGATTGACTTATTTAAACTTGCTGAGTTTTTTAGCCAACTAGCATAACTCTGTTCTGTTCTTATCTTATTTGGCTTTGCAGGTTGATACCTATAAAATTGAAAATAAAAAGGACAGGGCAGGTTGGCTCAACTACAAACAGAGCAGTTTTGTGAAGGCACTGAGATGGTGCATGTGTTTGAGTCGATGGATGCACTGTAGCCATTTCATTATAATGTACAACTTACTAACCCACTACATTCTAGATGTGTTTTGACCCAAAAAATAAAAAAAAAAATAAAAAAAACCTATAATTGAAAATTGAGCCATATTATTTGGAAAGCCCCTTTATAAATTCAAAATTGGTTGGTTTTCATAATTATAAGAATTCAATGCAACCAATCTCAATCAATTAAACAATCAAACTCAAATCAATTTAGATATAATCTAATGAATACAAATCAAAGTAGATCTAAACAAATTAAGACGAGGAAACCACAAATGGAATACATCCATTTGTTGAAGAAATAACCACCAGGCAATGGCTCCAAAGCAATCCAAGAAGAAAGATACGGCAATTACATTAAGAAATTTCTCAACACAATTACTTATCGAATGCTATGCTCAAATTGGCTCTAATTTTCTATGGCCTCTTCAATGCCATCTTTTAACACAAAATTGCTTTCTCTAACACCAAATCCCGATTACTAATATCAAATCTAACGATATGGCCCACTCTAGAATCTATAAAGCCCCAAGCTCAAATTCCTCAAATTCACTGAAGAAAGCTACTCTTGCAGTTGTAATTAAAATGAAAATCCATTATTTACTTTCAAATCTAATGGAGCTATGATCACAAGATCAATTTAAATTATCAGGGTTGTTAGAGAATATTGCCACAATATTTGTATTTCCATTTGTTATGCCTATAAATGGGCCTTTATATTTTAATAGCAAATCTCTCATTTTCAGTACAATATTTCTTTCTCTTCTCGCCATTTTCATAACATAGTATCATTAACTATAGATAAATTTAAGTTTTATGGGTTCCCATCAACAAATTGTTGTTTGGTAAAGCCCGAACGCCATGAACCCTAACTTCTACTAAATAACTTTTTCCTCCCATCATATCATCATCAATACATCATCTCCTCATGCCTAATTTCATTTCAGACTCCAATAGCCTCATATTCATCAGTCCTACCATCGACAGTAAACTGGTCGCTCATCTGACCACTATATTCGCTACTTTCCAGTACTGGGCCTTTCACCCAGTGCCACCAGTATTTTGTATCTATCCTTGTCTCTTCTTCAATATGAATCTTTCCCAACCACCAACACCATGTGCCTAACCATTGTATCCATCACACTGCCACCTAATAGTCCAGGGCCTCAAATCTCACCAACAATTTCTTTATTTTCATAACTATTTTCCACCTGTAGGATTGATGTCAGTAACTGTGATTTTCTTGTTAAAAAAATGGCCATATTCTGTTTGGATTATAATGGAATTTGGGAATCAGAAGGTTAGTTTTGGAGCTAAGTAACAGCATATCTTGTGGAGGTACTTTGTGAATGGTTAAAATCTATAATTTATTCTATATTTTTTTTTTCATTAATACAGCTTTTATTAAATTAATTCTCTCAAATTATTTTTTTTGAGGAATGATAAAACTGCATTAATAAGGCACATGAAACAGAGTTTCCAACATAGTGTACAAACAGTTAGCAAGAACTCTAAGCAACTCTTCAAAAAAAGAAAAGAGGGTTAAGACACACCAACCATAAAAGGACATCAAAGACCAAATCCTAAGCAGAACCATAAATTATTTTATTCGAGAAACTCTAAGTATATAGATTGTACAAAGAGGGGAGAAGACATTCACTAAATATTTCAATGCATATTTTAATTTCTATGGTGGTTTTGACTTTTTTTTTTGCTTTTAAGACTAGAGGTTGAAACTCCAATATTTCTTTATAAATATTTTATGATTTTCATGATCAATGTCAAATTGTTTTCATTGATTTGGTTTAATTTTATTTGAGATAAAGTTTTGGTTTTGTAATAATCTATTTGTAGGTGGTTTTAATTCTTGGCAATCCCGGTTGACGAACAAAACTATTTCACATTTTAGTTGTTGTAAACTTGCTTTCCGCATCTTTTTTTTCACAGTGAGACTATATGAGTTTTTAGATGCGAATCCAACCCGAATTATGCCTTGCAGAGAAGTTTGTGATGTTAATACTTTCAAGATTGCCACTTCGCTGATTATAACGGGGATCGAGCAGCCCGGTCAGCTCGCGGGGGTCCAGGGGGCAGCGGAGGTTCAACTATCTGATCACTACTAGGATTTGAATCTAGTGTTTGTCGAACTCCAAGAGTCACACACACACTTTTATCATGAGATCTATGCTTTTCACTGTGGCATCACTTTCTTTCATGAGGAACCTTCTCCAGACCGTGCACATTGTGTTTTCAAGTAATTGTGCTTCTTGGATAATCTTGTGTGTTTTAAGGTACAACTCTGAAATTCCTTACTTGCTCAACCATATTATTTTTTTCGTTTTCTTCTTGTTCACTGTTTTCAGTGTTTGTGGTTGCTTTTAGTGAGGGGGAGTTTGGTTTATCATTGCAAGAGTTTGTTAGCATACACACTTTGATTTGTTTGGCAAGGGAGATTGGCTTTAGTTGGTTTACATGATGCTATGCACTGCTTCTTTATTATTTCCTTCTTGCATGCTCTTAATATTTACATAATCTTGTCATTGCTTGTGGTTTCTGATCTTACTTTAGTTGTTTGAGCTTCCTTTGTCAATTCGTGACAAAAAGGGAGAGTAATGTTGTCCGATGCATGTGTCTTAGGATTTCATGTATTCATGCCATGTGTCGGGTGCATGTGTCTTAGTTTTCAGGTTTTCATGCTACATGTTCTTAAAATCTCCAAGTCGCATCTAGTTATGTTTTCCATCTCATGCTTCAAATGCTTCCAGATAATCTAGCCATATGTTTATTGCTTTTTCATATATTCTTGTAGGACTAATAGTTGTTTTGGAGATTGTGGCACTAATAGCTGTTTTGCAGATCATGACCTTGAGAAACAAGTTTGTTTTTGTTGGCTGTAATGGGTTGGGGTGATTAGGATTTTATTTGTTAGGTGTGTTTTGTCACGGCATTGCCAAAGGGGGAGATTGTTAGGTTTTCATTCTTGGCAATCCCAGTTGACAAAACTCCTTTTAGCTGTACTTGCTTTCGCATTTTTTATTTCAGTGAGCTATGAGTTTTTAGATGCGAATCCAACCCGAATTATGCCTTGTAGAGAAGTTTGTGATGTTAATACTTTCAACCCGAATTATGCCTTGCAGAGAAGTTTGTGATGTTAATACTTTCAAGATTGCCACTTCGCTGATTATGACGGGGATCGAGCTGCCCGGTTGGCTCACGGGGGCGAGGGGGCAGCAGCCCCCCTTGGCAGGTCCGGGGTAGCGCCCATGCGGGGTCGAGGGGCAGCGCCCCCGAAGCAAAATGCAAAATTGCATTCGGAGTTGTATGTCCGCCTTTGCTCGCTCGAGCGGAAGAGTTCTCGCTCGAGCGAAGGCTGTGTTTGGAAAAAAACCTGAGAAGGATGAATGTACGCTCGAGCAAAGGTTGTGTGGCTCAAGTGAAGCCACTTATGGAAAACACGCATTTTTGGTTCCTCGCTCGAGCGAGCTTCGTAGTCCCAGATTTCTATAAGTATTTGTTTCGGTCCAAAACTACGATTACTGCTCCAGATCTTCTTTTTGGATATTAAGGTTTATATTTGGAAATATTTTGCTGGTTTTCTTTGATGTTTAATTGAGTATTCAACTCATGGATTAAGAAGAATACATCAAAGGTCTGTTTGTTCATTCTACACAAAAGAGAGAGTTGTTCTTCGGTGGATTCTGAAGAATTCGAGCCTGAAGTTTTGGTGGATTCTGGAGTGGCTCATCGTCAAGACAATTCCGTGGTGAATACGGGGTTGGAAGAGGCACATAGAGGTTGGTTCAATTCGGGCGTGAATTTGCTAGGTAATTGAGAGTATACCTGTGTAATTCCTTTATATCTTCTTAGTGGATTGTTTTGTGGCTGTTGCTCGTGGTTTTTTTTATCACAATTGGAGGTGCTCCAATTGTGGTTTTTCCACGTTAAAATCGTTGTGTTGATTTGTCTTGATTGTTTGATTGGGATTGTTTTATTGCTTTAAATAGATACATAATCACAAATCAATATCTAGTGGATTTCTAGTTTTTTTTAATTGGTATTAGAGTGGGTCGCTCTATTTTTTTTGTTTTACAAATCTATTACAGCGAGATCTTGTTTGATTTGTGGTAATGGATACAATTCGTGAGAGAAATTCTATGGTTCGACCACCCTTACTTGACGGATCCAATTATTCTTTTTGGAAAGCTCGGATGAGATCGTTTTTAAAATCTATTGATGAAAAATTTTGGCAATCTGTCATGTATGGGTGGACTGAACCAACAATTACCGTTGATGGAGTAACTTTTCCCAAACCAATTGATAAGTGGGACACAATTGATTACCAAAATAGTAGCTGGAATAGTGAAGCTACAATTCACTTTTTTGCGCTGTCACACTTGAAGAGTTTAGTCGTATTTGCAATTGTGAAGTCACAAAAGAGGCTTGGGATATCTTACAAACTATTCACGAGGGCACTCCTTCTGTTAAACGCTCAAAACTTCAAAGGCTCACATCTAGTTTCGAAAACCTTTCAAAGAAAGATAGTGAGACCTTTGATGAATTTTATGCGAAGTTGAGTGACATTGTAAATTGCTCACGTCTAGTTTCGAAAACCTTTCAA